AAGAAAGAAAGAAAGAAAGAAAGAAAGAAAGAAAGAAAGAAAGAAAGTAGGACATGTTGTTGAATTGTGCCAGACACCCGTTGTGCTCAGCTGTGTTGTGAGAAACTCAAAAACTTTCCATGACTCTAGATTCGGATATGCGTATATATTAATAGTACTGATATGCATAGGTTTCCATGGGAGCAGGGAAATTGGTCTGAAATGTATATATATGTATCTACAATATCCTAACTTCCAAATTCTTTCTCTCCCTTACTCAGCCCCACACTGTCATCTATTAATTTTAGAGAAATTATGCCTCCAAAAAAAAAGTGTTATTTTCTTCTTCTTTTGGCTCAAGGAACCATTATTTGCAGGTATTCTCTCTAAGGCTGTCGTTTCCTTTTCCTCTTGCAGATTTCTTTTTTCTTTTTCCCATTGGGCCCTCTGCCTCCCTCTTTTTCCATTTGTTTGATTTGTGTGTGCCATCAATTCTGGTTTGTTTGTTTTTTTTTAATTGTTGGCAAAAGCCTGGATAGTCCCTGCAGTTTTCTTGGCAAGGTTTCAGAAGTGGATTTGCCCTTGCCTGGTTCCCAGGGCTAAGACAGAGTGACTGGCTCATGGTCACCCAGCTGATAACCGGATAATCAGAGACCCTACACCATTTCTGACAAGTGGCAGTCCACTCCCTTCTTGAAAGCCTCAAGTGATTTCATGCCTAGCTGGTTTGATGCCTAAGCAGGATTAGAACTCACTGCCTCCTGGTGATTGGCCCTAAGTCCCCCAGTTGGCTTTCATGCCTAAGAGCAAGATCAATCAATCAATGATTAGAATAGAACTGGAAGGGACCTTGGAGGTCATCTAGTCCATGCCCCTGCTCAAGCAGGAAACCTTAGATCATTTCAGACAAGTGGTTGTCCAGTCTCTTCTTAAAAGCCTCCAGTGTTGGAGCACCCACAACTTCTGAAGGCAAGCTGTTCCACTGGTTGATTGTTCTCCCTGTCAGGAAATTTCTTCTTAGTTCTACATTGGTTCCCTCCTTGATTAGTTTCCATCCATGGCTTCTTGCCTTGCCTTGTGGTGCTTTAGAAAATAAGTCAATCCCCTCTTCTTCGGGGGAGCCCCTTGGATATTGAAACACTGCCATCATGTCACCCCAATCCTTATTTTCATTAAACTAGACTGGATGTCAGCAACCCCTGGCTCTGGAGCCTCATGCGGCTCTTTGGGCCCTCTGCTGTGGCTCCCTGTTAGGTGATCCTACCACTGGCTCGCCCCGCTCCTCGCCTTCCCCTCCCAGTCACTTCTCACCTGGCCTGAGAAGGTAAAACACAAAAAACAGAAATGGGAGGGAGAGAGAGGGAGAGGGAGAGGGAGAGAGAGGTGGGGAGACCCATTTCCCACAGAAAACACAGGCAGGGGACTCTATCCCAACTGAGCGAACAGGACTCCAGCTATTTGAGCCTGCTGGGGAAGTGATCCTTGGCTGGTGGGAAAAAAAATATGGCATCAAACCTTTTACTGGCATCTGGATTCCAGCAATTACATGACTTCACCATTATTTTATTCTGCCCTTGGAGATAGCAGCATGACTACAAAGCTTTTTGTGGAGTTGTTTTCCGGGCATTGTGGCATCATTTTCCTAAGCAAATTAATCTAATTTGCTGACAGGTTGCCTTAATTAAAACCTTTCTGCAGGATAGAAGTTTATTTGTAGTGACGGCAATTTTTTTTTAAGGAATCTGTTGCTCCTATATTGATGAGTCAATTTTTTTTTACTCTTTCCTGTCTGTAAGAAATATTTGTAAATGATGAATAACAAAATGGTAGTTAATATTTCAGCATCCCCTGATCAATATTTGATTTCTCTGGAAGCATTCCTGGACGGCTGAATCATATGGGCAACAAGAAAGGATGTTAAAGGCCTGAAGAAAATAAGTAACAGGAAACTTACAGGAGAATAGGCAGTATGGATCTTCTGAAGTCCAGCTGTGCCATTAATCCCTTAAAGTTGCAGGGCCAGCTCATTCAGACAAGCGAGATCTACAGATTAACAGAGTTGGAAGAGACATTATCTAGGTCAGGGATCTCCAACCTTGGCAACTTTAAGACTTGTGGACTTCCAGAATTCCTCAGTCAGAAAAACTGGCTAGGAATTCTGAGAGTTGAAGTCCACAAGTCTTAAAGTTGCCAAGGTTGTAGACCCCTGATCTAGGTCATCTAGTCCAACCCCGCTCCACCCAAGCAGGAAACCCTACATCATTTCTGACAAATGGCAATCCAATCTCTTCTTGAAAGCCTCCAGTGATGAAGCTCCCACAACTTCCAAAGGCAACTTTTGTTCCATGGGTTGCTTGTTCTCACTGTCAGAAAATTTCTTCTTATTTCTAGGTTGAATCTTTCCTTGATCAGTTTCCATCCATTATTCCTTGTCTGGCCTTCAGGTCCTTTGGAAAATAACTTGACCCCTTCCTCTCTGTGGTAGCCCCTCAAATATGGGAATATCATTATCATGTCTCCCCTGCTCCTTCTCTTCCCTAGACTAGCCATACCCAGTTCCTGTAACCGTTCATTGTATATTTTAGCCCCCAGTCCCCTAATCATCCTGGTTGCTCTTCTCTGCCCTTTTTCTAGAGTCTCAACATCTTTTTATAGCATGGTGATCAAAACTGGATGCAGTACTCTAGGTGTGATCTTACTAAGGCTTCATAGAGTGGTATTAGTATGATTTCCCATCCTTTATTGAAATAATTAATTGGAGTTGTTTGGGATTATTTGTTTCTGCTTTTTCAACAATTTTGCAAAGCAGTTATGGAGCTGTAAGATTCTTGTACCAAGCTGACTTAGATTGGTGGACTTCACCCATTACACAGAACCATCAGAGATACAAACCCAGCCCCTGGTTATAAATCACTGTTGAAGTCGTACTGTGTTTTGGAGCTTTTGTTAATTATGGTTTGTAAATGATGAGAATATGGCCTTTCTTTGTCTTGAAAATCATGAGTTCAGGAGCCTTTAGAATCATCAGGTACCCAAAGAACATTAAATACCACCAAAATCTCATTTAGATGACCACATCTCACAAACTCACCTCTTTGTTTGACATTTATTTTTGGGGTCCCATGGACGTCATCTGATGATGGTGTGGGAGCACTGCTGATCATTTGGCTCCATGTGACGTGAATCTGGGATGTCCTACATACCAATGGAGTCCTGTGCCCCTGAACCACCTTCTTTCCCATCCCAGAAAGAGGTGATAGCCAATGGCATCGAACAAAGCAACGCAAACAAATGCACCAAGAAGTTGCTTCACACTTCTACATTTGTAACTCTAAAGTTACCCTTGGTTCTGGATGTAATTTTCCCTAAAAACCATTAAAACTTTACAAATTGTACAAATAATTTTACAAATACTTCTGATACCAGTTTCTGAAATGCACCATTGTGTGTCGACAAATCGCTAATTCTGTTGCTTCTTTTTATTGTAGTCAAGAAGTAGAGTAACGACAATTAACCATCTTTTATCTGTACAACTCGAGGCAGTGTACAAAATATTGTCTCCTGCTATTTTCTGCACAACAACAGCCTTGTGAGGTGGGTTAGGCTGAGAGAGAGGGGGGGACTGGCCCAAAGTCACCCAGTGGGCTTCCATGCCTAAGGCAGAACTAGAACTCACCATCTTCTACGATGGGCTCAAAGTCACCCAGTGGGGTTCCATGCCTAAGGCAGAACTAGAACTCACTGATCCCTGGTTTCTCCTAGGCCAGCATCTTCATCACCCCACCAAACTGGCTTTCTTTATAATGGTTGATGTCAGTCATTTTACAAAGAGTCCTTGATTTACAATCGCAAATGAGCCCAAAATTTATGTCACTGGTGAGACACTGGTTAAGTGAGCCTCGCCCCGTTTTGCCTTCTTGCTTACCACATTAGTTAAGTGAATCACTGCAGCTGTTAAGTTAGTAACCTGGTTGTTAAGTGAATCTGGCTTCCCCATAGATTTGGCTCGTCAGAAAATTGCAAAAGGGGAAATCACATGATCCCAGGACTTGGCACCCATCATAAATCATCCCTAGCAGCTTTCAAGAAGACACTGGACTGCCATTTGTCAGAAATGGTGTAGGGTCTCCTGCTTGGGCAGGGGGTTAGACTAGATGATCTACAAGGTCCCTTCCAACTCTGTTAATCTGTTAACGTGTTGCCATGGTCCTAAGTGTGAAAAATGGCCATAAGTCACTTTTTTCTGCAATCTTGTAACTTTGAACG